CTCACACATACAAATAAACATACAGACACATCCGCGAAAAATGTAAAATCCGACAATCCAAATGTATAGCGTTAACACATATAAATGTAACACCTATTGATCTCTTTTAGTTAGTAAAAATTAGCCTTTATTTTGTTTTATTTCTTTTTCTCTCAATACAATATCAAGAGCTAAAACTACCTTCTTTTTATTTATTAAATCCTAATCTAATGTTTAGTCACAATTATCCTTTTTAAATTTTATAATTCTAATGTTTAGTTAAATTTACCTCTTTTTTATTTTAATGTAATGTCTAGATATAGACAAATTTTAAATATAATCCCATGTTAAACTTATCTCTTTCTATTTTATTTTATTTCTAAAGACCTCACCCCCTTCGTTCCCCTTTGAGAGTGCACAAGGTCCGTCCCAGGGTAATAGGGATTAATTTCCTTGACCTAAAATAGGACCTGCGATCGCACCGCTCTTGAAAAGAGTCATAGTGTCCTCACGGACATTGGCCTTTGAAGAAACGACATTTACAATTTATTTGAGATGCCGAGGCTCGAACGAGAGTCGGCGACAGCGCTCCAAGGATTAGTAGATCACGACATAAACATTTAAGGATGTTAAAGGCGTTGGGGTCGAGCACCGACGACTGGGATGACATGATAGTTTACATGATCGAGGAAAGTTTAGACAAGGTTACGCGACGTCGCTGGGAGGAGAATGTTGAAGGCGGACAAGAGGTATCGGCAGAAATCATGTTTGAATTCTTACAGAAACGGAGTCAAATGCTCGAACGATTACATAACTCGAGTAAAGGAGAAGCAAAATCGAAAGGAGTCGTCAGTAAGGCTGGGAGAGGTATCGCTAACGAGGAGTCATCAAGGCCATTCAAAGGGAATGCATCCAGGAACTAAGTTAGTTTGGTTGCATCTTCATCGGGAAAATGTTTCATGTGCAATGGGTCTCATTTTATATATGTATTCTTGCGAAAAGATCTCCCAATACAGGGACGAATCGACGAAGTCAAGCGATTAAAATTATGTTTTAACTGTTTAAGGAACGATCATTTTGTAAACACTTGTAAGGCGGCTTCCTGCAGATCGTGTTCGGGAAGGCACAATACATTGTGTCATAAAAAAAGAGAAAGCACTACAGTGTCTCTTCCTGGAGCGGTTTGTACGGGGGATCGTCAGCGTAGCGGAGGAGATTTGTCTGTGCATCACGCCTCGAGATCATCGAGAGCAGGTATTGTGTTGATGGCGACGGCGGTAGTGAGCGTAACGGACGTAAATGGGTTCAGTCAGGATGTGCATGTCCTGCTGGATAGCGCGAGTGAAGCCAATTTCATAACTAAGGCAGCTTGTTCTAAATTAAATCTAAAGATAGAAGCAATTCAAGAGGCGGTGACAGGTATAAATAATGTAGAGTGTACAATTAATCGGGGTTGTCGAGTAGTGGTCGAGTCACGAGTAAACGATCATCGTTTATCTGCATTTTGTTTGGTTGTTCCAAAAATTACTAAAAAATTGCCCTCGGCGTGCATCGATGTTCCACAT